GGTGGGGAGGAGGAGCTGGAGCGGGTGGGGGAAGGAGCCGTGGCCTTAAGAAAGGAGAGGAATGCGGACCCCTACGCCCGGGGCTGGAGAGGCCAGGCCTGAAAAGGAATAGAGAGACATGGTCCTGAGAGAGGAGGAGAGGGAGGGGTGTGGAGACCCCAGTCCCAAGGAGGAAAATGGGAGAAGGGGATGGAGATTTCAGACCCAGGGAACAGATGGGGCTGAGGTAGAAACCCCAACCTTAGAGAGAGGAAGGGGAGGAGATGAAGTCATCAGCCTCAGAGGAAAAGACAGGACACTGTCTCCTCCCGTATCTGTGGGAAAGAGAGGGACAGCCAGCCCTATGGAGAGGGAGAGGCATAGGAGCCGCAGGACCCCCTCACCTCACCTTCCGGGACGGTCCCTTCTTCCTCCAGCTCAGCCTTTGTTCTTTGAGGCTGAAGGACCTAAACTCCCAGCTGGGCCCCCAGCCAGTATTTATCTACAAGAGCAATGGAGACAGAGCCGAAGCAAAATTGATGGGGGGGTGTCTTTGGTACGCAGGCCTCTGCTGTCCTTGCACATTTATGGCCTTGGGGTCCTGGGATGGGGGTGAGAGTGAGCCATTTCTTGTCGTCTGTCCCTGCCTGTCAGGTAGACAGGACTGGAGGAGAGTGAATAGAAGCCCCTAGAGGTGGTGCCTGTCAGAACTGTGAGGAGCCTTCAAAAACCACCCATCCACACCCCTCACTTTATAAAGGAGAGAATCCAAGTACAGAGAGGGGAGAGCCCTGCCGGATCCCGCAGGTCAGGCTTGACTCGCTTCTAGCTGAAAAGCGGTGCACCCAGGCAGCAGCCCCTCTGGAGGCTCAAGAGACTCCTGGGAGGATGGGTGTGAACGTGGGCGTTGGGAGCCTGCCTGCCGTCACTCCACCCCACTTCCAGGAAAGATCCTCAGGCCTACGGTTTTCTTTCTGGTCTGTTTTATACAAAAGTGTCTACCTCAAGGGCTGATGAGCCTTTATTGGGAACCAAGCATTTTGGCCATACCGTCGGGTTTAAGAAGCTGCCAGGGATAGCTCCCACTCCTATCTTTTTCCCTTCGCCCCTCCAAACCATGTCAGGAAGTGAGACTTGCCCCGGCCCTGGCCTGCTCTGGTTTGAAGCATCAAAAGTTAGTGTTCGTTATGTGTCAGGGGAAACCTGGAAAAATCATTCCCTCTGGTTTCTGCTTTCCACAGTTCTGTCCTCTAACAACCTCAGTTGGGGGATTTCAGAGAGCAGTTAAGGCCTGGGGTATCCCCTCACACTAAGGGTATTCTGATGTCAGTCTTTGTGTTCATGAATGGGAGGCGTGGCCTCTATGGGAGGA